TCTCTCTGCCTCTCTTCTCTCTCTCCTTCTCTCTCTGCCTCTTCTTCTTGCCCCTCTTCTCTCTGCCTTCTCTCTCTCTGCCCCCTCTTCTCTCTCTCTCTCTCTGCCTCTCTCTCTGTCTCTCTCTCTCTCTCTCTCTGCCTCTCTCTTCCTCTTCTTTTCTGCCTCTCTTCTCTGCCTCTCTCTCTGCCTCCCCTTCTCCTCTCTCTCCCCCTCTCTCTGCTCTCTCTCTCTTGCCTCTCTTCTCTGCCTCTCTCTTTTGCCCTTCTCTTCTTCTTTCCTCTCCTTTTCTCTCTGTCTCTTCTTGCCCTCTCTCTGTTCTCTCTTTTGCCTCTTCTCTGTCTCTCTGCCTCTCTCTCTTGCCTCTTTCTCTGCCTCTTCTCTTCTCTCATCTCTTCTCTTCTCTCTCTGTCTTCTCTCTCTCTCTGCCTCTCTTTTCCTGCCTCTCTCTTTCTCCCTTTTCTCTCTCCTCTCTCTCTCTGCCTCTCTCTCTCTCTCTCTCTCTCTCTCTCTGCCTCTCTCTCTCTGCCTCTTCTCTCTCTGCCTCTCTCTCCTCTCTCTCTGCCTCTCTCTCTTTTTCCCTCTCTCTCTCTCCCTCTCTCTCTCTCTCTTCTCTCTCTCTCTCTCTGCCTCTCTCTCTCCTGCCTCTCTCTTCTCTCTGCTCTTCTCTCTTCTCTTGCCTCTCTCTTCTGCCTTCCTCTCTCGGGCCTCTCTCTGCCTTCTCTCTCTCTCTGCCCTCTTCTTTTGCCTCCTCTCTCTGCTCTCTCTCTCTGCCTTCTTCTCTGCCTCTCCCTCTCTCTGCCCTTTTCTCTCTGCCTCCCTTCCGCTCCTCTCTCTGCCTCCTTCTCTCTCCCTTTGCCTTTTCTCTCCTTCTCTCTGCTCTTTTCTCTGCCTCTCTCTCTCTCCCTCTTCTCTATCTCTCTCTCCTCCTTCCTCTCTTTTCTTTTGCCTCTCTCTCTGCCTCTCTTTTCCCTCTTTTTCCCCCTTCTCTCTCTTCCCCTTTTCTTGCCTCTCTCTCTCTGCCTCTCTCTTCTGCTCTGCCTCTCCTCTCTCTGCCTCTCTCTCTCTCTGCCTCTCTCCTCCTCTCTGCCTCTCTCTCTGCCCTCTTCTCTCTCTGCCTCTCTCTCTTCTGCCTCTCTCTCTCTGCCTCTCTCTCTCCTTTTTTTTTTTTTCTTTTTTTTTTTTTTTTTTTTTTTTTCCTCTTGCCTGCTTTTGCCTTTTCGTTGGATTCCTTTTTTGGGCCTCTTTCCTCTCTCCCTTTTTAAGCATTTTTTGGACTCTCTTTGGGCCTCTTCCTTTTCTTGGCCTACTTCTCCGTGCTCTTTTTTCTTGCCTCTCTCTCCTGGGTTTTGATCTCTAGTATTTCGGGGGTGCCTGTCTCTTCTGCCTCTTCTCTTTTCCGCTTCCTCGTTGTTCCTTGGGTTTTTCTTTGGGCCTTTCTCATGCTCCCCTCCCTCCTTTCTCTCTTTCCCTCCCCTTCCGGCTAGCTCTTCTTCTGTCTCTCTCTCTGCCTTCCTCCAAACTGTGGGCTCTCTTCTTTTGGCCTTTCCTCTTGCCCCTCTTCGCCTGAGTCCTCTTACTTCCTCTGCCTTTTCTTCCTCTGGTCTGTTTTTTGGTCTTTCCCCTTCCTTCTTCTGGGCCTCTCGTTCCCTTCCTCCTCTCTCTGCCCTCTTCCTCTTTCCGGCCTCTTGCCTTTTTTCTGAAATTTTTTGCCATCTTTTCCCCCCCTTTTTCCCTCTCCTTTTGGTCTTCGCTGGCTTTCTTCCCTCTGGTATTTCTAAAATCTCTCTTTTGCCTTTTCTTTAAAGGTCTGCTCTTCATCTGGCCCCCTTCCTTTGCCTTGCCCTTGTGCCTTCTGTTCCTTCCTCTCACTTTCTCCCTGGTTCCTAATCATGCTGCCTCTTCCCGTGCTTTTTTCCTGGGCCCTTTGCCCCCCTCGGCCCGCTTCCTCTCCCGTTTTTTCTCCATCTGGTGCCCTTTGGGTTTCAAAACTATCCTTTCCTGAAGCCTTTGCCCCAAAGGGGGTTTCTCTGTCTTTTCTTGGTTTGTCTCGGTTCTTCCTTTGCGGAGTTCCTGTCTTTCTGTTCTCTCTGCCTTTTCTTTTTCTGCCCCCCTTGCCTTCCTTGCCTTTCCTTCTGGCCTTCTCTGCTTCCCTCTCTTCTGCCTTTTCCCCTCCTCTTGGGCCTCCTTTCTGGCCCCCTTTTCTTGGTCTTTTGAGGTGCCCCCCTCCTTGCCTTTTGTCCCCTGCTTTTGCCTTTTTCGTGCCGGGGCCCTTTTCTGGTCGGCTTGCTGTGCGTGCGCGGCCCCTCTCTTGCTCTTGGGGGCCTCCTTCTTTAAGGGGGTGTTCCTCCTCCTTGTCTTCTTGCCCCACGGTTTTGGGCCTCTCCTTCTTACTTTCTTTTATGTTCCCTCCTTTGTAAGGCCCATTTTCTCACTGCCTCACTTCGTGCTATTCCCCTTTGTTTTCTGTCTCTCTCTGCCTCTCTCTCTCTCTGCCTCTCTCTCTCTCTGCCTCTCTCCTCTCTGCCTCCTTTTCTCTGCCCCTTTTCCTCTTTTGCCTTTTTCTCTGCCTCTTCTCTCTGCCTCTCTCTCTCCTCTGCCTCTCTCTGCCTCTGTGCCTCTCTTCCTCTTTTGGGCCTCTCTCTCTCCTCTCCTCTCTCTCCCTCTCTCTCTCCTCTCTCTCCCCTCGGGCCTCTCTCTCCTCTCTCCTCTCCTCTCTCTCTCTCTGCCTCTCTCTCTCTCTCCCTTTCCTCTCTCTCTGCCTCCCCTTCTCTTCTGCCCTCTCTCTCTGCCTCTCTCTCTCCTTCTCTCTCTCTCTGCCTCTCTCTTTTGCCTCTCTCTTCTCTTTTGCCTCTCTCTCTGCCTCTCTCTCTCTTGCCTCTCCCTCTCTCTCCTCTCCCTTTGCCTCTCTCCCCCTCTCTGCCTCTCTCCTCTCTCTCTCCTCTCTCTCTCTGCCTCTCTTCTCCGCTCTCTCTCTTTTGCCCCCTCTCTCTCTCTCTTCCTCTCTGCCTCTCCCCTCTCTGCCTCTCTCTGCTCTCTCTGCCCTCTCTCTCCCCTCTCTCTTCTCTCTCTCTTTTCCTCTCTCTCTTCTCTCCTCTCTTCTCTCTCTCCTCTCTCTCTCTCCTCTCCTCTCCCTCCCTCTCCTCTCTCTGCCTCTCTCTCTGCCTCTCTCCTCTCCTCCTCCTCTCTGCCTCTCTCTCCTCTCCCCTTCTCTCTCTGCCTCTCTCTCTCTCTCCCTCTCTCTCTCTCTGCCTCTCTCTCTCTCTGCCTTCTTTTTCTCTACTCTGCTCTCTCTCTGCCTCTCTCTCTTTCTCCTCTCTCTTTTTTCCCTCTCTCTCTCTCTTCTGTGCCCTCTCCTCCTTCTCTCTCTCTTTTGCCTCTCTCTCTCTCTCTCCCTTTCTCTCTCCTGCCTCTCTCTCTCCTCTTTTCTCTCTCTTCTCTCCCCCTTTTCCCTCTCTTCTTCTCTCTCTTCTCTCTCCTCTCCCTCTCTCCCCCTTCTCCTCTCTCTCCTCTCTCTGCCTTTCTCTCTCTCTCTTGAGAGGGTTATGGTGAGCAGCAACCTTAAACCAAGACAGCAGTGCCTAAGCGTACGTAATAAGGCAAATAGATTACTGGGATTTATATCAAGAAGTGTAAGCAACAGAAGTCCAGAGGTCATACTGCAGCTTTATACATCATTAGTAAGGCCTCACCCAGATTATGCAGCTCAGTTCTGGTCTCCATATTACAGAATGGACATAAATTCATTAGAAAACATTCAGCGTAGGATGACTTAATTAATACATAGCATTAGAAATCTTCCTTTTGAAGAAAGATTGAAGACTCTTTTAATTTTCATTCACTTGTTAGACGAAGAATGAGGGGAGACCTGACGAAGTGTATAAGTGGAAGATGGGTATTAATAAAGGGGGGTATTAATAAGGTCTTGGGATGTCTCTCGAAGAGAGAACCCGCAGTAATGGATTTAAATTAGATAAGTTTAGATTTAGAAAGGACATAGGAAAGTATTTTTTTGGAAATGGGGTAGTTGATGAGTGGAACAGTTACCTAGTTGGGTTATTGAGGCTGGGACTTTGGGTAGTTTCAAATTTAGGTTGGATAAGTACACGAGTGGGGGGGTTGGATTTGAGTGGGACTTTCACATCAGAGCTTATTTCTTGGGTGGCATTGAAAATTGGGTTTGGGCAGATTTTTGTTTGTGGGTGAATTGTAAGGATCTGCCCAGTATGGGCCAAAAAGGCCTCCTGCAGTGTTCCTCCTTTCTTATGTTCTTGTGTGTGTGTGTGTTGTGTGTGTTTTGTTGTGTTGGGGTGTGTGTGTGTGTGTGGGTGTTATAGCAAATTGTAGTTAGTCCTCAGTAGTAAGACCGAAAAAGGGACTATGGTTCTGTCTATCCAATTTTCTTTTTTTTTTTTTTTCCTCTGTTTATATTTTAAAATTTTATTATATTTGCTATCTTTAACTTTTATTTTTTCCTCACTTCCTCATTTTTTAAGTTCTTTTTCCCCATCTTTCCCCCCCTCAAACCACTCTCTTTTCCCCATTTTCCCCCTCCCCCACTTTCTCTCCTCACTTTTTCTCCACATTCTCCCTCTCCTCCCACTGTTTCTCACCTGGCTTTCCCTCCTCTCCACTCCTCACTCTCATTATCCTCACTTCATCCTCTACCCCTTCCACTTCCCCTCTCTCCACTATTCTCACTCTTCACCATCTCCCTTGCTCTGTTCAACCCCCTCTCCTTTACACCTTTTCCCAAGATGGCACATTTTCACTCACTATAGGGAGGCCTTGGTTAGTAAATGTTAAAAACAAAATACACTTAACTTGCACATGTATTGTTTTGTGTTTTAACAAAACTGTTGAGGAGTATGCATGGGAACATTGTAATCAATAAGGAAAATACATTGAATTATATACTAATTGGTGTTACATAATTGAGTTATATAATTAGAATTTAAGTTTGTAAGATTTTAATTTAATGTCTTGAATATGATTTTCAGAGGGAGAGGAAGAGGCTTTGGACCAATGGGACCAATGGGCCCAATGGGGCCAATGGGTCCGATGGGTCCAAGAGGACCAGGTGGACCAGGTCCTGGTGGCCCACGTTTTAGAGGCAGAGGAGGGCCAGGATTCAGACCCCCTCCACCAGGATTTAGGGGCCCTCCGCCATTTGGGCCCCGTGGACCAAGGTTTGGTCCACGGGGGCCACCACCTCCCTTTGATCCTAATTGGGGACCTATGCCTCCTCCACCTCCAGGCATGGGTGGCCCCATGGGCCCTCCAGGCATGGTGAGTTTTAACCATTTGCTTATAATTATATCAAAAGCTTGTCCAGTGCTATCTTAAGATTTTTAACATGTTCATTCAGTTTTTCTGGGAGGGATTTCTTAGGCTCAGTATGAGTCTTGTTTTGTGTGTTTCCAGGTGACATCCTGAGAATCTCTTCGTCATAACATCACTGGGAGTGATATTTTAGGATTATTATGAATCTTATTTTTCATTAACAATTGAACCCAAAAGTACTAAAAGTGATGGACATAAAAGTACATGAGCTAAGAATGTGATACTATAGATATCACCAATCCAACATCATTGGGACATCATTTACCTGTACTCTTGGCACGGTAAATCACAGGAAACTGTCATACCGTTGGAAACCTTGGGACAAACTTTTACTGATGCTAGCCAAAATTACTGCCGGATTAGTGATTGCTGGATCGGTGATGGCTGACCTGTACTATATTTTACAATAAAATTGAGTAAAAAATTATTAGTCCACCTTTTACTCTGACAAAATGCAACATTTTTCTTCCTTTTTTAACTCAAGTTTCACTGCTTCTCGGATCCTTGCTGTCTCGTATACCCAGTAGCAGTGTCAACTACATTTTGAGTCTTTATCACCAAATAGTACCTTTGATTAATATTACATCCTTTACTTGCTGTTTTCTGCAAAATGTTACGAAGGACCAGGGGGTTTAACACTTAATCTGATTATTATATTAATAGTACTACACTTGTCTTTAGGGTTTCTTGCTAGTTTCTAGTTCTTATATTTTGTGGTAACTAGTAAGAGCTTTGTCATGTGTATCAGAGGTGTGCACCACATTCTATCTCCCTTAACCCTTTGACTGTTTCTGACATATACAGTGGACCCCCGGTTAACGATATTTTTTTCATTCCAGAAGTATGTTCAGGTGCCAGTACTGACCGAATTTGTTCCCATAAGGAATATTGTGAAGTAGATTAGTCCATTTCAGACCCCCAAACATACACGTACAAACGCACTTACATAAATACACTTACATAATTGGTCGCATTGGGAGGTGATTGTTAAGCAGGGGTCCACTGTATATACGTCTTACGAGCTAGTGTTTTTCACGTATTTATTCTCCAAAATTCTAGCGGCTTCAAATCAAGTGGGAGAAAGCTGGTAGGCTCACATGTGAGAGAATGGGTCTGTGTGGTCAGTGTGCACTGTATAAAAAAAATCCTGCAGTACGCAGTGCATAATGAGAAAAAAATCTCCGTCCGTGTTTTTGGATTAAAATGCAAATGTTTAAGGTGTATTTTTGTGTATTATTTATGGTTGTATTCTCATTTTCTTGGTCTCATATAATAGAATGGAAAACATATTACAGAATTAGAGATGATTTTGATTAGTTTCACGATGAAAACGACCTTGAAATTGAGCTCAAAGTAGCGGAAATGTTCGATTTTTACCAGTGTTCGAGAGTAAGCAAATCACACCACATGTCCAATACACGTCAACTGAGGAGTCTAATATTCTTTCACTAGTACACTGATATTATTTATACCATTTTTACAATAATGCAGTAGTCTGCATAACAGTAAATCTGTATTTTGTGTGAAAAAATAAAAATAGAAAGCAAGAGTAATATAAGAGGGGCCTAGAGACATGACTAATGAACAGAGGATATTTAAATTTAGTGTCAAGAATGTCTGCATTGTTTGTTCTGGACCCTATTTTGAAATTGGCATCTTTTTTAATTTGCATGAAATTTGCCAAATTGCCAATTTCTGACCACTTTATTGGGTAGTTGAAATTAGTAAATGGGTGGTTTCTTGTACTCAATTGATAGAAAAAAATGGAGTGCTAAAGAAATAGCTGTGAGTTTGGTAGACTGGGACAATGGAATTGGCCGAAAATAGGGTTCAAAGTCGGCGAAATCACCGACGTGTATATATCGCTGAGATCGCTAACTTTGCCGGAGCGTAATTTCGTAAGTTTTTGGTCAAATTTTGTACTTTTGGTGTCATTACCATTGGGAAAAGATTCTCTATCATTTCATTAGATTTTTTTTTTTTTTTTTCTAAAAATTTTTTGACATTGAATGACAGTTACAGAAAGGGGCTGGCGACAGTCAAAGAGTTAAAAGTGTTTGTACCATTATATACTCATACATTACATTTGCCTCCATGGATAATGCTCTTTGTCTTCACAACTATCTCCGTGCACCACCCACCTTTTTTCCTTCATCAGTTCTGTGGTTTACCTCATCCTTCATGAACCCATCTGCCAAATATCTTAACACGTTCATTTCTTCCACACTCCCTCCCTCTGATATCCAGTTTTTCTTTACCTAACTCATTCGAGTCTTTCATCACTCGACTCTTATCAATGTTTACTTTCAACTCTCTTCCTTTACATGCCCTTCCAAACTCATCCACTAACCTTAGCAACATCTCTTCAGAATCTCCCAAAACTACAGTATCATCAGCAAAAAGCAATTATGTCAACTCCTATTTTGTATTTGATTCCTCATAATTTAATCCCACTCCTCTCCCCAACACCCTAGCATTTATTTCTTTTATAACCCCATCTATAAATGTGTTAAACAGCTATGGTAACATTACACATCCCTGTCTAAAACCTACTTTTACTGGAAAGTAATCTCCCTCTCTTACACACCCTAGCCTGGACCTCATGATCCTCATAAAAGCTTTACAGCATTTAATAACTTACTACCTATTCCATACTGCCAAATATTTGCCACATTGTTCCCCTATCCACACTATCATATGCCTTTTCTAAATCCATGAAAACAACGAAAACTTCCCTGCCTTTATCTAAATATTGTTCACTTGTGTGCTTCAGTATAAATACAGTGGTACCTCGTTTATCCTCGTTAATCCGTTCCTGGAAGTGCGACGATTTTTTAAATAGACGATTTTCGAATAAATTTTTCCCATAAGAAATAATGTAAATACAATTAAACTGTTACTGACACCCAGAAGTATTAAAACAAAAAATTTTTTTACATGAAATATAGATGTAGTACATAAACAATACAATGGGACATGATGAATGAAACATTAACAGCCTAACACTTACCCCTATTGGCAGTTCTTCTTAGTGTATGGAAGACTGGAGGAGGAGAGAGATTGGATTAGTTACTGTTTGGAAGGGGAATCCCCTTCCGTCAACACCTCAGGTACCAAGTCCTTTTCTGGGGTTACTTGTCTTCTCTGTTTCTTAATGCCACTAGGACCAACTTGAGTCACTAGAGTCCTGTCTCTCAAAAAAAGTGTCCAGAGAGCTCTGTTTCTGTCATTTCTTTAAAACTTCCCTATAATGGGCCAAGACTCTTTAGTGTACAAGGTGCCGATATGGCTTGCAACATCATTCTCAGGGTGATGTTTCTCCATAAATCTTTCCATCCTACCCCACATTTCAAAAATCTCCTTAATTTCTGAAGAAGGCACTTTCTTCCATCTCTCTTCCTCCTCTGCAGCAAGATTTTGAGCTGTGATCTGTTGCTGTTCCTGCTGAAGCTCTTGCAGCTCCTCAGTGGTTAGCTCTTCATTGTGGTCCTCCACCAACTCTTCCACATCCTCCAAACTCACATCCAACCCCATGGAACTCCCTAATGCCACAGTAGAGTTCACAACTGACATAGGCTCATCAGGGTCAGCCACAAACCCTTCAAAATCCCTCTTGTGGACACAATCTGGCCAGAAGATATCAGAAACACTGCTGGAACAAGTGTTGAAACCTTCAAGAGGAAACTAGACAAGTATCTTCACCAGGTGCCAGATCAACCAGGCTGTGATGGATATGTGGGGCAGCAGGCCTCCAGCAGCAACAGCCTGGTTGACCAGGCGAGCACTAGACGAGCCTGGCCCATGGCCGGGCTCAGAGAGTAGATATACTCTCGAAATTCTTCAAAGGTATATCAAAGGTAAGAACTTTACTGTGATGAACCCAAACTCCTGCAGAATTAGGTCATCCAAGTTTGGAGGATGAGCAGGTGCATTGTCCATTACTAGGATGCATTTTAGAACCAATTTCTTTCCCAGGAGGTAATTCTTCACATTAGGGCCAAACACTTCATTGAACCACTCAACGAAAATTTCCATCGTGACCCGTGCCTTATTAATAGATCTCCAAAACACACACAAGGTCCTCTTTGGCATTTTCTTCCAAAAGAGGCCTGTTTCGTCACAATTGAACACTTGTTCAGGTTTCAGTCCTTCAGCCTCTATGTACTCCTTGAATTCACTTATGAATTTTGTAGCTGCAATTTTGTCTGAACTGGCAGCCTCACCATGCCTTATCACACTGTGTATGCCACTACGGTTCTTAAATTTCTCAAACCAACCTTTGCTGGCCTTAAATTCACAAATATCAGTACTCGTTGCAGGCAATTTCTTTACCAGATCGTCTTGCAACTGCCTAGCCTTTTCACAAATAATTGACGTCATAAAACTCTCTCCTGCTAATTGTTTCGCGTTTATCCACACCAATAATAACTTCTCAACATCTTCGAGTACTGGTGATCTCATTTTTGTCAGCATATTTACCTCCTTTGCAACAACAGCTTCCTTGATTTCCTTTTTCTTGGCCACGATGGAAGATATGGTTGTACGGGATTTGTTATACGTACATCCTGGCCAGTTTGGCCACACGTACGCCACTTTCATATTGTTCAATGATGTTTTTCTTAAATTCAATCGTATTTCTCACCTTTACCGAAGGCTTGGTACCAGGAGCTTTCTTTGGAGCCGTGGTAGCTTATTTAGCACTTGCAAGCACTAAAATGAATGAAATATTATGAAATATTTCGTATGAACAAGTGAGGGGACCGTCGCTCACTGGTAAACAATGGCACACTGGCTGGGAAGAGAGGCTGAGGCGGCTCAGAGCTGTGAGTACACGTCCAGGACGACTGACCATTAACCCTTTCAGGGTCCAAGGCCAAAATCTGAAGTGGTGCCCCAGTGTCCAAGAATTTAAAAAAAAAAAAAAAAATTTAATTTTTCTTATGAAATGGTAGAGAATCTTTTTGTGAAGGTAATAAAACAAAAAGTACGAAATTTGATGGAAAATTGACGAAATTATGCTCTCGTGAATTTTGATGTGTCAGCGATATTTATGAATCTGCGATTTTGCCGACTTTGACTCCTATTTTAGGCCAATTACATTATTCCAGTCGACCAAATTCTTAGCTATTTCACTAGTATTACTTCTATTCTATCGATTGAGCACAAGAAATCGCCAAGTCAACCATTTCAATTACAAAATAAAGTGACTGGAAATTGGTAATTTGGCCAATTTAACACAGTTCAAAATATTCCAATTTCAAAATAGGGTCCAGAATAAACAATGTAGGTATTCCTGGCACTAAGCTAACATTTCCTCTGTTCATTAGTTATGTTTTGAGGCTTTACAAATAAATTCCATTTTGAATTTTTATTCACATAATGAATTTTTATTCACACCAAAAATAGAAGATTTACTGTTATGCAATATTGTAATAATTGTATAAATATCACCACCACATTTGTGAATGTATATTAGACCCACCAGCTGGCGTGTATAAGACGTGTGAGGTCGTTTGTTTACTCTTGAACATCGGCAAAAATTTAACATTTCCACCACTTTGAGCTCAGTTTTAAGCCATTTCCAGTGCTAACACCAATCAAAATTATCTCTATTTCTGTGATATGTCTTCCATTCTATCAAATGAGACCAAGAAATCACAAATACAACTATAAAAAACATACGAAAAAACACTGCAAAGTCGCTGTTTTAATCGAAAATCATGGTCTCAGTTTTTTTCTCATTATACACAGTGTGCTGCAGGATTTGTTTTATGTGGTGCACACATACCACATAGATGTATTCTCTCATATCTAGGCCCAAATTTACCACTCACAGTTTATCAGAGTGAGCTGAGCTCATGACGTAGATCTACGGTTTGGACCCTGAACGTAAAGCCGTAGATCTACGGGACGGACCCTGAAAGGGTTAACGAGTCAACCGACCATTTGTGAGCCAATGTTTGGACGAAAATAACGTGATGATTTCCGAAAAGGATGACTATTGAGCCTGACGATTATCTGGATTTTATGACAGTACCCATTTTTGTCAGGTTTGGTGCATTTCCCATAAATTGAAAATTAAGCATTATAATTTCTTCCGATTGTGCTCAGGGGCTTTCCCATGCCTAGTTCTCTATTGTCATTTTTTTTTTATGAATATCCATATTAACCAGTTTACAAAAATGTTGCAGAAACATGATCTCTGAAGCTCAATTTCTTTTTTATGCAGACATAATTTAGTATTTTGGATTTTAGTTTTGTGGAAACTTTTTAAAATGTAACCCTCTGCTCAAATTTGTAGGGCCAACTGTATAGTTTGTTGCTGCTAGTAAAAAGTTCAATAATTTTTAAATTTTTTGTAGCCTCCGATGGGACCAATGGGTCCAATGGGGCCCATGGGACCACCAGGTCCGTGGGGACCAATGGGGCCACCTGGGCCAGGTGGTCCACCTAACCAACAGCCCAATCAAAATGTAAGTGTGTATCTGCTCATTTTTGACAGTTTAATGATAATCTTTGTCTTTAGAGTTCAGTATATAAGTAATATTGTTGACATAATCATACGTTATAGAAAACCCCTGGTTATGCAGAGCATTTGTACTACAGAATAATTATTTAATTAGGTTAGTTTACTAGTATATTATTATTTGCAATCTTTAACATTGTATATAACAGTTTGGTTTATGATTCATGACATCATTCTATTTTAATATTAGCTGGAGTAGTGAATTCTGAAGTAGAACATATTTTTGGTTATTTCAGATGTTAAATTATATTGGTGACAGTGAGAAGATTATGAATGTTAATATGATTTTGATAACATAAATTTGGCTTTAAAATTTTAACATAGTTTGTCTATGCAGAATTTAGGTTAGATTAAGGTGCTTTTTTAACTTTGGAGCAAGTGCAAGAAATTTTACTTCATGGAGTTCCTAGATAGGTTTAGTTGAACACATGGGTTATTAAAGCTGGACTTGTATCTTGTGTTGTGTCTTTGTGTTCTATTCCAGCTATCCAGGAAGACTCAGGAGTGCTGGGTTGAAGCTTGTGCTAATTGTTTATATATATATGTAAATCTGACAATAGTAGATGTGAATGTTTAGAAAGTTGTGACTTCTGAATAGTGGGGAAGGGAGTGTCTGAAAACCTGATTGAGTGATTCTTATTACTTATTTATGTTAGGTAACATTAGGTTTTAGGTGATTTGTTGTTTTAGATCCCCATGCACAAATACCATTAGCAAGAGTAGTTCAGTGGAAGTAATGTTGTTGGAAGAACAGTGTATTTTTGATAGTATGCCCACAGTTTTGCAAATTTTCGTAAATGTACATTGAATATGGATGTCAGTTTTCAGGCTGCAGTCGAGACATTACCTAAGAATTTTCCCATATCTTGGCTTTCTATTCTGAGGATTTATTCTTATGTTAAACCGAGTATTTTTAGCTTTATTTCTGAACAGGTAGAATGCTTTTTCAGTATTGAGAGTAAGTTTGTTGGTTGTCATCCAGGTAGAAATCATCATGATCTTTTTGTTGATTGTGTTGTTGAGAACAGGATCAGGATTTGAAATGACAAATATTGTCATCTGCAAACAGGACTGGTTTAGGTTCCTCGGAGTCACTTGGTAGGTCATTAATACAAATGAGGAATAATAGTGGGGCAAGGATGCTTCTCTGCAGTATCCCTGTGTTGATAGTGTTGAGTTATGGGATAATGTCATTGATGGTTGTATTTTGATGTCTGTAGGGTAGGATTTTGTGAAAGAGCATGTCCCCTGATTTCATAATGCTCTAGTTTCAGCAGCAAGATGATGATGTCTGCATTGTGAAATGTTTTCCTTAGATTGATACAAAGTCCAATTGGATATTCATTATATTCTTAAGCTGCATAGCCAGAATCTAACATCTTTAATAGCAACATTGGTAGGTTTTGCCTACCTGAAACCAAGCTGACGAGGGTTAAGAATGTTTTGTTTAACAATGAATGCCTATTTTCATTTACATATTTTTCAAATATTTTATATAATGGCAAGTTTGAGATTGGTCTAGAGTTGTTGAAGTTAATTTCAGCTGGGTCTCTACCCTTATAGATTGCATTAATACATACAAGCTTAAGTATATTAGAGAAAGTTTTGATTTCACGAGATTTATTAAACAGTTGCAATGATAGCTGATAATAAGTGGGCAGCTCTTTTGTGTATGATTAACTGCTTTGTTTTTAAATATGTTTAATATTGAAGTCACTTCTGTAGAATTTGTTGAGGAAAGGCATAGGGAGTCTTGGTAGCTGTCACTGGGGTAATTCATACCCTAAACAATGAAGTTTGGGATTTTGCTGGCAAGGTTAGTCCCTTTAGTTGAGAAGAAGTCAACTTGTTGCTGTCTGAGCAATCTTGGTGTTAAGTTCATTAGATCTGCTCAATACAGTTTCTTTGGTCTTAAAAGTTTTGCATAAACCCATTAGTTGATTGTGTTCCAGGTCTTTATAATATTGCTCTTTATTTCTTTGACTTTCTGGTATAATAGTCATTTAGAGTTATAGTTCTCAAATTTTTAACTTAAAATTTTTAATTTAGTTATTTAATGAATGTTTTTTCTCTTCAGATGCCATGTTTAAAATATGTATTTGTTTAGTACAGTGAAACCTTGACTTGTTAGTTTAATCTGTTCCAGGAGCTAGCTCGTAACTCAATTTACTCGTATATCAAATTAATTTTCCTCATTTAAATTAATTGAAAAGCCATTAATTCATTACTGCACTCTGTAGAGACGAGAAAAAATACTTGAATATTATGCTATTATCAACTGGACGGCTTATTTGTCTATCACAATTCATCTAATATGACATAATAAACAATATAATTAACACAGAAACATGATATATACTCTAGAATGAATAAAATAGGCCGTAATGTGGTGGCAGAGGCAGCAGCGGAAGTGTCCGCCATTTCCTGTCCAACTTTGACTCTACATGTATAGCATCTTCCCGTGCTCTTATTGTAAGAGAAAACGAGTATTTTTGAGGCTAACTGCAGTAAATCACTAGTTTTCTAAGGAAAACACTGAAAATATCGTATATAAACATACAAATCATGATACACTACAGAATGTAAAGAAATAATAAACTGTTTATGTAAAGTGTATATGTACTTACACACTAAACAACTGATACAATTTGTTTCGTTTAATCACTGAACATAACTGATATAATATCTCCTGCGAGCTGCTTCTCTCTCAACTACGTCAGCAGCAGCTTCTCCATCTTTTCTTGGACAGAGGTCCGCAGCTTAAACATTATTGTAACACCCTTGGCTGGACGCTATAGCCTTTATCAACTCCTGTTGCTTTGGTATCATATATGTAGTAGATGTACTGCACTGGTATTGTCTGGCAAAATCCACAACTCTTGCACTTTGCATATGTTTATCTATGATTTTATGCGTTAATTCCACGGAAATCATCGTCTTTTTCTTCTCCGCACTGTCCTTTGCATTAATTTTCTTAGGACCCATGGTTAGAAAAGCGAAATTTGGCCAAATGACTGTCAAAAATGTAAGCAAAGCGGGAGAGAACTGCTTCGACAGAGATGTGAGCACGTGTACTGCCGTCAGCTGCGTCAACTAGCGACAGCATTCTGAATTATTATTACATATGTATTATGTAGCAATGTAAAAAGAGAGCAAATGAGAGAGTGGGTGAGATGTTATCAACAAATTTTGTTGAAAATAAGAAAAAGTTTTGGAGTGAGATTAACAAGTTAAGAAAGCCTAGAGAACAAATAGATTTGTCAGTTAAAAATAGGAGAGGAGAGTTATTAAATGGAGAGTTAGAGGTATTGGGAAGATGGAGGTAATATTTTGAGGAATTGTTAAATGTTGATGAAGATAGGGAAGCTGTGATTTCGTGTATAGGGCAAGGAGGAATAAAAATCTTGTAGGAGTGAGGAAGAGCCAGTTGTGAGTGTGGGGAAGTTCGTGAGGCAGTAGGTAAAATGAAAGGGGGTAAGGCAGCCGGGATTGATGGGATAAAGATAGAAATGTTAAAAGCAGGTGGGGATATAGTTTTGGAGTGGTTGGTGCAATTATTTAATAAATGTATGGAAGAGGGTAAGGTACCTAGGGATTGGCAGAGAGCATGCATAGTTCCTTTGTATAAAGGCAAAGGGATAAAAGAGAGTGCAAAAATTTAGGGGGATAAGTCTGCTGAGTATACCTGGTAAAAATGTATGGTAGAGTTATTATTGAAAGAATTAAGAGTAAGACGGAGAATAGGATAGCAGATGAACAAGGAGGCTTTAGGAAAGGTAGGGGGTGTGTGGACCAGGTGTTTACAGTGAAACATATAAGTGAACAGTATTTAGATAAGGCTAAAGAGGTCTTTGTGGCATTTATGGATTTGAAAAGGCGTATGACAGGGTGGATAGGGGGGCAATGTGGCAGATGTTGCAAGTGTATGGTGTAGGAGGTAGGTTACTGAAAGCAGTGAAGAGTTTTTACGAGGATAGTGAGGCTCAAGTTAGAGTATGTAGGAAAGAGGGAAATTATTTCCAGTAAAAGTAGGCCTTAGACAAGGATGTGTGATGTCACCGTGGTTGTTTAATATATTTATAGATGGGGTTGTAAGAGAAGTAAATGCGAGGGTCTTGGCAAGAGGCGTGGAGTTAAAAAGATAAAGAATCACACACAAAGTGGGAGTTGTCACAGCTGCTCTTTGCTGATGACACTGTGCTCTTGGGAGATTCTGAAGAGAAGTTGCAGAGATTGGTGGATGAATTTGTAGGGTGTGCAAAAGAAGAAAATTAAAGGTGAATACAGGAAAGAGTAAGATTATGAGGATAACAAAAAGATTAGGTGATGAAAGATTGAATATAGATTGGAGGGAGAGATTAGGGAGGAGGTAAATGTATTCAATTTTTTGGGAGTGGACGTGTCAGCGGATGGGTCTATGAAAGAGAGGTAAATCATAGAATTGATGAGGGAAAAAGAGGGTGGTGCATTGGGGAAGTCTTGGAGACAAAAAACCCTTTGTCCTTGGAGGCAAAGAGGGGAATGTATGAGAGTAAAAGTTTTACCAACGCTTTATTGGATGTGAAGCAGGGGTGAAATGTTGCAGCGGGGGAAAGGCTGGGGGGCATTTGGGGGATGTCATGTCGGGAGGGAAATTTGTGTGGTGTGAATATAATGCAGAAAAACGATTTTGGGAATTAGGGGGAGGTGCGGGATTCCCAAAAAAACGGGTTGGGTCCAGAGGGCGAGGAAGGGTTTGTTGAGGGGGTTCGGACATGTAGAGAAAAATGGAGCGAAACAGAATGACTTTAAAGGGGTTATCAGTCGTAGTGGGAAAGGGAAAGGGGGGGTAGGGGGCCGGGCCCAGGAAAGGTTGGAGGGAGGGGTAAAGGGGGGTTTTGGTGCGAGGGGGTTGGGCTTTTCCCGCAGGTTTGCATGAGCGTGTTTTATAGGAGTGGGAAAGGAGACAAATTGGTTTTTTAAAAATTGACGTGTTTTTGGGTGTGACAAAATAACATTTATGAAGGGGTTCAGGGAAAACCCGGGAGGCCGGACTGAGCCTGGGGGATGGGGAAAAAAAATTGCCTGCACTCTTTAAGGGGGGGTGTTAATGTTGGGAGTTTTTAAAAAATGTAGTGTAAAGAACCCTTTTGGCAAGACAGTGAAAGGAGTGAATGATGGGGAAAGTTTTTCTTTTTTCCCGGGGCCCCCTTGCCTTTTGGGGGGAATCGGCCCGTTTTGATAATAAAAAAAAAAAAAAATAATGTATTATGTTTCATTTTTTATTTTTTTTTATTTTTATTAACATATCGGCTGATTCCCACCAAGGCAAAGGGGGGCCCGAAAAAAAAAAACCCTTTTAAACATCATTACTCATCACTGTCTTGGGCCCAAAAGGGGGTTTAAACTGAACATTAACACCCCTCCTGCGAGTGTATTTTATGTACTTCCCCAAACCCAGGACTCAATCTGGCCCGCCGGGTTTTCCCCCAATCCCTTTATAAAATGTTTTCTTTCTTTTTCACTTTAACAGTATGTCAAGTATTAAAAACCATTCGTCTCCATTCACTCGTATTAAATACGCTCACGCATGCCTGCTGAAAGTCCAAGCCCCTCGCACACAAAACCTCCTTTACCCCATCCCTCCAACCCTTCCTAGGCTGACCCCTACCCCGCCTTTCCTCCACTACAGATTATACACTCTCGAAGTCATTCTGTTTTGTTCCATCTCTCTACATGTCCGAACCACCTCAACAACCCCTCTGGATAATAGTTTTGGTAATCCCACACCTTCTCCTAATTTCCAAACTACGAATTCTCTGCATTATATTCACACTATACATTGCCCTCAGACATGACATCTCCACTGCCTCCAGCCTTCTCATTGCAACATTCATCACCTCATGCTTCACACCCGTACAAGAGTGTTGGTACAACTATACTCTCATGCATTCCCCTCTTTGCTTCCACGGACAAAGTTCTTTGTCTCCACAGACTCCTAAGTGCACCACTCGCCCTTTTCCCCTCATCAATTCTGTGATTCACCTCATCCTTCATAGACCCATCTGCTGACACATCCACTCAAAAATATCTGAATATATTCACCACCTCCATACTCTCTCCCTCCAATCTGAAATCCAATCTTTCGTCACCTAATCTTTTTGTTATCCTCATAACCTTACTCTTTCCTATATTCACTTTTAATTTTCTACTTTTACATACCCTACCAAATTCATCCACCAGCCTCTGCAACTTCTCTTCAGAATCTCCTAAAAGCAGTGTCATCAGCAAAGAGCAACTGTGACATTATTATTATTAATTTAGGGAACTGAAACTGTTGTTATTGTAATAATTATTATTATTGATAATTTAGGGAACAAGCTCTATCGTTATTATAATTATTATTACACCTACCATCCGACTTACGACCTGCTCGACTTACGACCGTGTTTTTTAAGCCAAATTTCTGCGAAATAAACAACTTTTTGTGTTGTACACAGTGTTTATCCTAAACCTTACAGTATAAAATACAGTACTAAGAACATAAAAAGTAAAGTAAAACATGAAATACCAAAATAAAACAATAAAATAAAGTCAATACAAAAATGTTATGTTGATATTCAGTAGTAAAGTTCGACTTACGACCATTTCGACTTACGACAGGTTTCTCGGAACTGAACTCGGTCATAAGTTGGATGGTAGATGTATTATTATTATGGAACTGAAGCTCTATCGTTATTGCAATTATTATTATTGATAATTTAGGGAACTGAAGCACTTACTATTATTATTATTAATATTAATTTAGGGAACTAGAGCACATATCCAATTCCCTAGATCAAGAACCCCTCGCCAGCATCAAGATTCCTTGATGCTGGTGAGGGGCTCTTGATCTAGGGAATTGGATATGTGCTCAACTTCCCTAAATTAATAATAATTATAATAATGATAGAGCTTCAGTTTCCTAAATTAATAATAATAATACATTATTATAACGAGAGCTTCAGAATGAAGTCAACTCAGTGCACTGTTTACCTAGCTGTGGGAGCAGTTCTCTCCTGCTTTGCTTACATTTTTGACAGTCATTTCGCTTTTCTAACCATGGGTCCTAAGAGAGTAAGTGTAAAGGACAGTGCTGATAAGAAAAAGAGGATGATTTCCATGGAATTAAAGCATGAAATCATAAACAGGAGAGGTGTCCAGGTTTTGGGTTGAGGGGGAAGTGGGGGGGGGGGGAGCTGGCTCGTAACTCAGCAAAATATCCACCGATCGACGGCTCGTATCTCAAAAAACTCGTATGTTGGAACACTCATAAGTCAAGGTTCCACTGTACTATTAATTCAGAAATGTTTTACATCAACTTTCCTTATATCTAAAATATTGAGCATAAATATCATTGTGTTAACCTGCTACTTAACAATCTTTAAGTGATTGAAACTACTGTACAGTATAGCACTTCATAGAATTCTTTTTCATTGTAGCAATTATTGATTTTTGGTGTCCCTTTTTTGTTGTAGTTGGCATTATATTACTTAAATACTGTCTATAAAAAGTGATTTGTTTAATGCTATTAATTAAAAATATATTTTACAGTCCCTTAGCTTGTATTATATTTTTATTTAAATTAAAATTATTACTAATCTGTTTGTGAATATGAAAGATAAGTTTTCAGAGCATTTAATTTTATTATTTCACTGTCGTCAGCTGTAATCAATTACTTTTTACTCGTATCATCAGCAAAACTCATTAGGAGGCATGGACCTTAGCGGTGAGATTTGGGTGGAAACCAAGACCGGAGAGGGGAAATCCTACTACTATAATGCACGCACCAGAGAAACTACATGGACCAAGCCAGAGGGCGACGGTGTTAAAATATTAACACAGCAAGAGGTACATTATGGCTCTTACATGTCCTTCACACCAGTGTTGTGATTAGCTTGGTTACTTAATAGTGTACAAGGGAAAGCGTTTCCTGTATTAAATTTAAAGTGCCCTTTTAACTGCTTCCACTCATATCAAGTCATACCAGTAAATCAAATGAAATGGAATTTGGTCTGTACTTTGTCATTGATACTGGCGTTATTCATTAATGTTTTTGAAATGTTCTTATAACATGGTACAATATGTATAAACCATATCCTTTAGAATAATATATTGGATACCCTTAAATAGTGGGTGTAACAAAATTTCATTTAATGATTTCATCAAAGCAATGTTTGCTGGAAAAAAAATATAAAATTTAAAAAATATCATGGTATTTAGTCAGTTTCACCTCAAAATATAACTCAAATTCACTGGAGAGAGAGGAAGTGAGCACATTGAGATATTACCCAATTACCATTAGACATATGAATGTTCTTGCAAATATGCATTAGGCTGCACAAGCTGTGCTTTTCATTACTAAATGTTTGAAGCTTATGAAGATACTGGATTTTGAGGAAATAGAAAAAAAAATTGCACAATTTTGTATTTTAATATTGTTTTAGACTTCAGCATAGGAAAATGTCAGCAAAATAATTACTAACTTATTCTTATAACTACACAAGTCAGTGTATATTGTTTATAAATGCCAAAATAATGATATAAACCACCCAGGACAGAATATTGCTGGTGGCTAAGACTCGCGTGCTACACCTTGGTAACTTTGAGAAACGTTTCGCACACCAAGGGCTTTATCAGTCTGCTGTAGTGATATTAGGTTGATAAACCTAATGGGGGGGCAAAAGGTGTCTAAAATAGAGATCTAGGTGTTGCACGTCTTATTCACCCTTCAGTTAGTAACTGGGCTAACTACTAAAAATTTCAAGGAGCTTAAAAAATAGGCTAAAAAAAAAAAAAAAAAGGGGTCCCAAGTAAAAAAATTTTTATCTTCCCTTTAAATTTTTGGTTTTTGGCTTGTTTGAAAGAAAGTATAGGGGGAGGTATATATTCCCTTTCCCCCTCCCCTCCCCATATCACCTCCCACCACCACCAAAACTGGCATATCGGGGGGGAAAAAAAAAAAAGCAGAGGGAAGGTGGTTATTCCCTTTGGAAACTTTTTGCATTTTTTTGCCCTTATCGTTCTCATTGCTTTAGGCCCTATTTTGTAAGCTTTTAAAGCCCCTTAAAAAATGTCTGGAATTTTGATAAATTTGGTAGAACTTAAAAAAAATCTGACGTCTCAAAAAGGGTCAGGGTCTAGAAGAGGTTTCCTACCATAAAAAAATTTTTGCACATTTTTTAAAACAAATTTTAAAGGGAAATTTTTCCCATAATCTAAAATTGCCATTGTAAAAGAAATTTTTGATACTGTAATATCATAACTTTTATCTTCAAAATTGTAAGCATTGTTGGAAATTTAACATTTTAAACATAACTATTTTGTGGGGTTACCCATAAATTTGATTCCCCAGTGATACTTTTTTTTTTTGTAATAATAACTCTGGGGCTTTTAAAACCCCTTTAAAAATTTATGTATCAATGAGCACAGGGGCTCGTTTGGTTCAAACCTTTTTTTTTAACAAGGGGCAAGAGAGTTCAAAGAGATTTGGTTTTTTAGTAAACCATGGGTTTTAAAATTAGTAAAATTGAATTTATTAAATCAAGTGTAGAGTAAAATTCCTCCACTTTGGGATAAAAAAAAAAAAATAAAATGTCTTGAGAAAGTAAAAAAAAAACCCCTTTAAATAAAACCACAAATTTTTAAAAACTTACAAAGCATGTCATAGAGGATGTACATATTTTTCTTGCTTTTATCCAAATTTTTAAAAATTTTCCGGCCCTAATTTTTAAAAAAATTTTAACTTCTACCCGGGGAGATTAGTATGTCCCCGTTTTTTGGGGCCCCGTATCAGTATTGAAATTGTAGTACACCCAAGTACAGTAAAAATGGTGCTTGGAAACAGGAAAATAAGGATCTTTTGCTGTATCTCACTTAGGTCTTTTTAGGGTTTTTAAGAATAAATTAAATGATTTTGCGTTTTTTTTTTTTTATCTTTTGCAGTTTTGAAAAATTTTTTTTTAGTTCCCTTAATTATTTTTAAGCTGTATTTTATAATGTTTGCTATTTTGGCATAAAACAGTTGTATAGATTTTCCCACAGTGTATGTAAAAATTTTATTAGTGTGGCATTACAAAAGTAAAATTGGAGTTTTTTTTTTAAATTTAAAAATTCCCAGTTCATATTTAGTGTTTTTTTTTTTGCAGCAGTGAAAAAAGAAAAACGACAAAAAAATTATTTTAATTTTGTTACGTGTAATTTTGAAATATTCTGGACTTTTCCTTTTGAATTTCAGAATTATTGGGTCTGAAAGTCAAGGAATAATCTCTCTGGGACCATCCCCATCAAGGATGTGAAGTTTCCAGATGAACCAAGGTGTCATAAATTTAGATACTTTAGTTGTAAAATGGAATATAGAAATTGATGAATTGTAAATGATGATGACATTTTTTTTTTTATGTTATGTAGTCTTCCTTATGTATTTGCTAATCTTTATATTGAATATTTTTAATTCTGTTCTACATTTAATTATTAGTGTAAAATGTAGTGTATGTCTTCTCTTGCATTATTTGGAGGTTCCCCTTCCTTAGTCTCATGTTTCTAGTTTCTTCTAATCCATTACATTTAAATTTCATTCTTCACCTAATGTTAATGACCGAATCCAAATTTCCTTTTCTTGATGTTCATGTCCACTGCTATGTTTGTTTTCTAGATTTGCAATTGGGCAAGTCCATTTTTTTTTAAATGGTCAATCTTTCAAGTCTATTTTTTTTCTCTATTCCCTGCACATTGAAGATACTGAAGTTCTTGGCTTGAAATTTTTATTCTTTGCCATTGATTTTCCTGTCATGGCAGTTCTCATAGTTTTGTAGATATAGATTAGTCTTGTAGCCTAGTCTCACTAAAACTCACAATTCTTACTTCCTGTGTTTCAGACATGCATCATCTTAACATTTTTGTTCTATGGCTATTCTGTCAGCATAACACATTTTGAAGCAGATTTGTATCACTGCTACTGCTACCTATTTAGTGTTTATGAGCTGTTCCTTTTGCCTTCCATTACATTAGTGGCACTGACTGCTTCCTTTCTGACTAACATGAAGAATACCAGTGTTTGCTTTGCTAATGCAATGAACATGCCTTTTTTCTTTCCCTGTTATGAGCCATAGCCATGTCTCAGGTTGGTGTTCTTTCCAAATTGTTTCCTGTAAACTCATTAGGTAAAAGGAGACATGCAACATGTACGACATTTTATTGTGGTAACATTTTGCTCTCCAGGAGCTTTGTGACTGCATTAAAATGTCACATAGTTACACATGTGTTCTTTTCCCTAACCTATTGTTGGTAATTCTACCATTATTACATCCTGTAAACCTCTGAGCCTACACAGATAACTTGTTAAATCAGCTTTATACAAATCCCCAACATGTTTCTGGTTCTGCTTACTTTATCAGTATTGTACGTTGCCAAAATATATGGTTTGTCTTGACCTAACCTAACGTTGTCTCCTCACTTCTCAGTGCCCTGATCTGACTTTTGACTCTCCTTTTCTTGTGACTAATGTTTCGTGATAGATCAAAACGTTTCCCATTTTTTTCATGAAAGTTGTTAAATCATTTAGTTAAATTCCTGTGATGACTTTAATTATTTTGTAATTGTATACAGCTGTTACAGATGAATTAATTTTTTTTTTCAACAAACCAGCCATATCTCACCAAGGCAGGGTGGCCCAAAAAGAAAAACGAAAGTTTGTCTTTTTAAATTTAGTAATTTATACAGAAGGGGTTACTAGCCCCTTGCTCCTGGCATTTTAGTCGCCTCTTACAACATGCATGGCTTTTGGAGGAAAAATTCTGTTCCACTTCCCCATGGGGGTTAGAGGAAATAAACAAGAACAAGAACTAGAAAGAAAATAGAAGAAAACCCAGAGGGGTGTGTATATATATGCTTGTACATATATGTTGGTTGTACATATATGTAGGTTGGTAGACAGCAACCACCCAGGGAGGTACTACCATCCTGCCAAATGAGTGTAAAACGAAAGCCTGTGATTGTTTTACATGATGGTAGGATTGCTGATGTCTTTTGTCTGTCTCATAAATATGCAAGATTACAGGTACGTCTTGCTACTTCTACTTACACTTAGGTCACACTACACATACATGTACACATTTATTTATACACACTCATCTGAGTTTTCTTTGATTTTATCTTAATAGTTCTTGGTCTTATTACTTTTCCTTTTATATCCATGGGGAAGTGGAATAAGAATCTTTCCTCCGTAAGCCATGCGTGTTGTAAAAGTCAACTAAAATGCCGGGAACAATGGGCTAGTAACCCCTTTTCCTGTAAAGATTACTAAAAAGAATAAGAAGAAGAAAATTGTCAAAGTGGGAAGTCTGAATGTGCGTGGATGTTGTGCAGATGATAAGAAAGAGATGATTGTGGATGTTATGAATGAGAAGAAGCTTTAAGTGAAACAAAGCTGAAGGGGGTGGGAGAGTTTCAGTGGAGAGGAATAAATGGGACTAGGTCAGGGGTTTCAAATAGAGTTAGAGCTAAAGAAGGAGTAGCAGTAATGTTGAAGGATAAGCTATGGCAGGAAAAGAGGGACTATAATTGTATTAATTCAAGGATTATGTGGAGTAAAATAAAGATTGGATGTGAAAAGTGGGTTATAATAAGCGTGTATGCACCTGGAGAAGAGAGAAGTGTAGAGGAGAGAGAGAGATTTTGGGAAATGTTGAGTGAATGCATGGGGAGTTTTGAACCAAGTGTGAGAGTAATGGTGGTTGGGGATTTCAATGCTAAAGTGGGTAAAAATGTTATGGAGGGAGTACAGTGGACCCCCGCATACCGTTGGCATCACGTAACGTTTAATCCGCATACCACTCGCTTTTATCGCAAAA